ATTCCTACCCCTCCTCCCACAAAGTATTTAGGAGCTCATCAGAAAGCCTGTAAACTGAGTTACCTCAGTTCCGCATTGGTTGATTTTGAATCTTCTTCATTGTTTCGGCTCCAATGAGACCGGGAAATGATTGGGGTAATCCTGGGTCAAAAATTTCTTCTAACAGGATAGACTAAATACATAGTATGGTGCATAAAAACTGTAGAAGAATTTGTCCACACCAATCACTCCACAAGAAGTCCTATTTTTAGATTTGACTCATCCCAAAATAATGTACATCGACTCAAAAGAGCCAAAGAATCTGTCCAGGTCTTATTCATTGTTGCCGGACTTAAAAAATAATGAAGACTAAGGGCATTTCTGTGGAGAAGTAGATATGGAATGCATATTAGAATTCTAGCACGTGCATTAATTACGTTCGAAAATTTACCATGGAAAATACAATGAGGAAGATTCGGGTAACACTAAGATTCAGAACAAAAGAGATGAGTTCACACCTCTTTTATCATCCAATCAGATCATTGTAAAATGGTAGGGTCAAGTTCTTCTGGGAAGAACAGATTTTATTTGGGTATGAAAGCATTCAGCAGTACGGTATGTAAGTAACCTAACGGTAGGCAGTGGCCTCACTGTTACTGAGAAGAGAGAACATAGATTAAGCAACCTTCAGGAACCTACAAGGTGCTTATCGGTACCTTGAAGTGTCATGAGATAAGTTGATAGAGACTAGGGAATTTTTAGTACGAGAGAAAAGTTAAATCACAACGTTCATTATAGGGGAAAGAGGTTTCAGTCTATTAATAAACATAATAGATTTAAAGAATATATTCCCTCTCCTTACGAATATAAATAGTGGTTAATTATTATAGAGGTGACCATTTGCCATATCAGACATATCGAAAAGAAAAGAGATTTCCATGTTATAATCGCAAATTTTCTAAGTCTCAGAGCATGCTGTTGCGTCGTTCCATTTACTTGAATAGAATTACTTATAACTTGAAGCAGGAGAGAAATCAGCAGAATAATTAGTATGGATTAACTTACAATTTACTTCTATAACACAAGAAGGAATGTAAAGATGGTCTCTCAATTAATGTTATTTGAAACGACACAACTTACGAGACTATGCTGCACTTTCATGTTGTCGTTTTAATTTTGAATCATTAAAACTGTAAGATTTTCTAACTACTGAATACTCTTTTTTGAGTACTTTGCTAACAGGTCACTTTTTCCTTATGTACGAAAAAGTGACAAAAAGCTTATAATAAATACTCCACTAGAAATACCCGAAAAGACTTTTGAAACCAAGCTTGAGGTTGAGGGATACATTAGGCTCACTGTAGTAACTATCGGAGAGTTAAGAGTCGTATTACGACGCAATTTAATTTATCTGGTCCAAACACTAGACATGGTTTCATTCAAATTTTAAAATGACTCTAAAAATATGTTGACAACTTTTTCAGTAACACAGTGCGGACAAGGCAGCTGTTTACTTTTCAGGCAACCACAGGTATGCATGAGAAGTATCCTAGGATTTCAAACCGCGCAAGTACCCTTTCATTTGATTAAAATTTAAGGGTAAAAGTGAGATGTGTATAATCTAGAGAGGCTGAAGACTTTATTCATGAAATATTGATCTTAAAGATACTGTAAGATATATTCAGAGCCAAGGTCTGCCAATTAGAGACAATATGCGACGATGTTCAGGCTGAGTGTCCAAAAGTAACCTCAACTGGCTCCTCAAACAGCTGGAGCTTGGATCTCCAGGCGAGTTAAGTCAAGCGGATCTGCACAGGCAAGAGACTGTCGTTCCCACTCTCAACATCCAATGTGATTATTTGGTTGATCCAAAAGGCGGCTCGTGTACTTGACCTGCACCTTAAAACTTACAGGAGATACTTACCTTTCAGGCTCATCCAGAGGCACTTTCACTGTAAAAAAAAGGTGAGTCCAAAAAAAAAAACATACTGATCCTTCAGATGCTCTTAGATGGGTGCGAAAGAGAAATAGACAAGCTAGTCTCATCAGAAAAACCAAATAGTGAAGGTTACTATCGATCGTTTTCATTCAGTTGAATAGAAGTTTTTTTACTTGGCAATTACCCATTCATTCGTGTTCATGATTTATACAACTGAGAGAAAGAGGAGAAAGAATAGTTGTCACGTAGGTGACAGCATATTGCTTCTAATTATTGAAGGACGTTTTAGTATGAAAGGTGTTCAGAGTTCAATGATCCTGAATCAAACTTGGAAGTCTAGGTTTTGGATTTTACTTAATTTATGACTTAAAATCACAAAAATAGACCATTGATCGACAGACATCAAAATGTAAAGAAGTTTTTTAAAGTACGCTTTCTGCCATAGAAGACTCCAAGGGAAAGAGTTACATGCTGATGAGAATGGATACGGTTCACCATCTGAGAGGGATCCTTATTATTATACTTGGCACTAAGGGTGGTCTATTATGTTTTGAAGAGGTTAAATAATACATTGTTGTAAAGAGGTTGGAATCATTATTCAAGCAAAACCACCTCAATAATCTTTAAATTAAGAATTGAAGTAGGTAAGTTTGATAATTCAGTAGCATTTCGACGGTGAAGCTGCAGGGACACGTACCTCGCTTTGCGACGCAGCAGACTTCCGGTCATAATTCATTTTCGTACACAAAAAAGTGCTCTGCATCATTCCTTGAAAATTTTTCTCATTATATTCTATAAAAATTTCAGTCCACTGTGTAGGTTCGTCCTCAGATGTAAGCAAAGAATTTGAGTCGCCACTCACGAGATACGCATTTTTTCCAGTTTCACCGTCGATCCGGCATCGCTAATGGCAAGTAGTTTTCTAGGATAAAAATAGGCTGATTTCTTACCGGGGCAGAGCTGCAGTTCCGAGATTGGTGGCGAACTTCGAAAAAAAGACTAATAGTCTTGAAAAGGATTCCGCTGAAGAGGAAAGGCATCACTTTATAGAAGTGTACTTTTAAAAAATCACAAATATAGTGTGCTACAGCACACATTCTGGAAAAACTTGCACTGAAATTTACGAAACACTAAGTGCACTTGGTGTAAAACTAAAAGGAACCTGAAATGAAAATTAGACAGAAGAAAGAAGATCAAAAAACAAAATGGGTCGAGCGGTTGCTCTGGTTTGTTAAGAGAACTGGAGATAGGATTAAAACAATATGGACTCAGTAAATAAGTACTGGAAAGCAATAGTGCCTAGAGAGTTGCAGATTGTTCAGATTGTAGAAATGATGGTTCAACGACGCTGGAAAACGTAATCACAGAAAACAGCACTCGAGAAAAATAAAACCGATAGCAAAAACATATTTTCGAGGTCAGGGGAAAATAGAGAACCAAAAGGTGACTTGTTTTCCTCGAAGAAGAGATTGAAAGACAAAGCAAATTATAAAAAAGTAGTATTTAAAATTAAATTTAGCAATTGAGCTTGCGAAAAGCGGTGTTAAGGTAGAATAGTTGCCGATTATAGAAGCGTAATTATCAGTTTGATGCATTTGAGCAGAATCATGATAACTGCGTTTTAAGTTGCCTAATTACCTATCCTGATCAGTATATATGACAGGAGTTGAAAAAACACGACACCCAGAGACTTTTTCCTTTTCTGTAACTTGCACAAATTAAACTCACAAAATTTTGAGGCAGAATGTAGCTTAGTTATCTGGTAATTATTTACAAGAAAACAGGACATTGACGGGCACAGAGAGCCCGTTGAGCCCAAGTTGGAGAGGAATTTGGACAACGTCGGTTACGGTTAGGAGGATATCATCTAAAAAAGGAGGGTTTTTGAAGTCACAGCACTTACTTGCGGTTACTTTTCCACAAGTATGAAAGAACAGGGCAACTGACCAAATGGAGAAGGATTACACAGAGAAGCTTGCTAATTCAATTGAAAGGGCTGCACACGGCTATAGCCAAGAAGAAGTACAACTAAAAAGTTCCCAGAAAGCACGAGGAATAATTAAGAAACAGTATTGCACGGAGTTTGAAGCGAAAAAGAACTGCAAACGAGGAAAAAAGGGCGTTTAGGATAAAAGTCGTTCATTGAGTGTAATGAAAACTATCAAGAAGAACGTGAATACAGGGGTAGCCTTTATGAATGATTTTAAATTTTTAAAAATGTCCGATGAAAAGGAGAAAATAGTATTGCAGTCCAAATTCCATGATGATGCAAACGAAAGGAACTAAAAGGGCAGTTCGGAAGAACCTCAACTCGGATAACTTAATAAAAAAATAGACAAAACTGCTTGAAAATAAAAAGAAAATCACGACATACTTCGAAAGATAAAGCGAAAAACCCGATAAAAAAATGGCAACATTTTTCACACAACTCTCAGGCAACGTTGTTAGAAGTCTTTTCTGAGTGGAGAAGAATGAATGTCCAAAACAGGGAGCAGTCGTTCAACCCATGTACCGCAGAGTTGAACAGGTGTCTGAAAATAAAACTGAATATACAATTATAAACATATAAATTAACAGACAAACAGGTGTAAAGTGAAGGTGTTAACTCCTTGGAATGTCGTAGGCAAAATTATGGTGATAAACTGGGGAGCTGAAAAGTGAGATTGACGTTTCTCTCCTCCTATAATCATAGCATAGACAAAAATACAAGTAACTAGAGGGCTTTTGCTCAGCACAATGAAGTTATTCTGCATTTGAGTATGATATGAACCAAAACCAAATACCAATGATCTTCTACAGCAATACCTGGAGGATGAAAATAGGCCAATTTAACTGCTCCAAAGGACTTCATAACTGGTGGCATATTCATTACAATTACATCAGGTCATTCTTATTGTACCGTTTGAGAAGAATAAAAGAAAAGCAAAAAAACTTTGACTGTATCAGAGGATCAAAAGAACATGTTTCGATAAAATGTTGCTGGTCGATTAGATTACAGGAATAGTGATCTAAATTAAAATCAGCTCAAGAATAAAAGAAAACTTGATAGGACAGCTGGGGCATTGAGTGATTAAATACGTACGTTTCTTCGCTGCTGCATGCGGTTTCTTGTCTTCCTTCTGATCTTCAGTCTTGGATTTTTTCTTATCGTTTGAGGCAGGGCTGGAAGACGGAGATGGAGTCTCAGTCCTGATTTTCTTCTCTGGGGGTTGCTCTTTAGGTGGAGACGTACGTTTCAAACCGGGCTTCTTATCACTTGAGCCAGGAGATGATGAAGAGGAAGTTGACGAACTAGAATGTGTTGCAGGACTGCTGGAATTAGTTGCTGAATTGCTACTACTGGACTTCTTTGGCGCGGGCGGTTTAGGCGGTTCTTCTTCTAGACCGGTGAGACGAAATTTAGAGTTGAATGTTTTCACAGTTTTGAGTTTAATGTCTTCCGGGAGACTTCTTTTAGGCTCAATTGAAATTGAGACCTTTTTGACTACTTTAGGAGGTTCCACCACAACAGGCTTTTTAGGTATGGACTTTTCGTTGGGTATGACTTTTTTATTTCTATCATCACTTAGCACTTTATTCTTAACACTATTGTGATTAGAACTGTTACTATCAAAAAGATTGAAACTACTAGGTTTAATATCACTTCCTTGAGATACTTTCTTAGGTATTTTACCTAATTTAACAACAGATGCTGGAGCAGGAAGAGCTTTCGCGAGATTGGCCTTATCTTTCTCAGCTTGAACTTTATCTTTGAGTGATTTAGGTGGGTCCTTTTCACTTTGAAAAAGAGCCTTATCTTTCAGCTTTAGATCTTTTGATTTCTTGTCTTTAAGAGAGTCTAATTTTTTATCACTAGTTTTGTCAGGTTTACCTTTTAAATCCTTAGATTTCACCTTGGAAGTAACAGGTTTAGCACCACCACTAATACTACTATTGCTGCTGCTACTACTTAAATGTTCTTTTTCCCCTATTCTATTAAGTTTTTGCTTTCTCATTCGGTCTTGAGTGTCTTCTTGGGTGTCTTTGTATTTTTTCTGCAACCTCTCTCTTTTCGATAGTTTTCTATTTTCATCACTATCATCCGCATCTCCATTACATAAGCTGTGCTCATTCTCTGAGTCATCACTATTACCATAGATTTCATTTTCTTTCTTTAACTGCGATACCTTGGGTACATCTTTTAAAGAAATCTTGAGTTTAGGAACAGGAAGAGGAGGAGCTCCAGAAGCAGGTGTATTACTTGCTCCAACCACTGGTTCGATTTTGGGTTCTACTTTAACTTCACAGGTTTCGCTATTGACTTCTGACTTAATTTTCAGTGACACATCATTCTTAATCTCTGCATTCACACCAATTGGTTCAGTTTTCACAGGGACAGTAGTTTCAGTCTCTTCCTTCACTTGGGACAAAACATTGGTAGGTGTAGAGGCAGCAGCACTTTTAACAATAAAAGCCCACTTGCCGAGCAGATCTAAAGCAATGTTGCGAGCAGCTGAAACAAAACAAAAAAAGAAAGGTAACAGTAAGTTTCATACTGCCGAAAAAATGAGACAAGAAAGTACAAAGAGATAAGACGCAGAAACTAAATTTGAGTTTCACACACAGGGCTACTATAACTTTCTTGAATAACATAATTGAGATGTATATCAGTAGTCAATATATTAACAAACTATTTATGCACAATATAATAAGAGGTCCTGGACCGACTGAAAAAACTCACCAGTGTTTTCCTGCTGTTTCGAGAGGCTCTTGACCAATTTTGGTATTGTGTTTGACTTTAGTCGTTCTAAGTCCACTGGCACTAGCTGAAGCAATTCTAAAAGCTCCACGGTTAGAGGCCAATTTTCAGCAGCCATGGAGCTTTCTAGCCATGTATGTAACAGTTTCCACCCTCCAGCGCCCATAAATCTGGAAATAACAAATCACAAAAAATAGAGTAGCAGAAAGGGGTAGGTAGGGATCAAGGGGTGAAAAGGAGGATTCGACCCATCATGAGATCCGCAGTTTGCGTGATCGGCGATGAAACTTTTGGGAAAGTGAGGGAATCTTGATCAAAAACGACACAAAAAAAACCCTTCAGAAAAATTCCGACGATTTAATGATCTTTCCGACTTCTCGGGAGACATTTCGAGGGACTTTTTAAAAGTGAAGAGCAAAACAAAGCAAAAAAACTATCACTTTGAAAAATTGAGAAAGTCGGTACATTTTTCGGAAGGGAGTGAGGAAAAATCACGGATCGCGTGAACGTTCGACCGAATGACACTTTCAGCACCCCTCGAAGAGCCCGACGTTATTCAATAAAAAGCTACTCAAGATTTACTCGGCATGGTAACACCTGAACATTCAGAGTAGCTAGATCTACAGACAGTAAGACGGAATTGTACTGAAAAAATCTGAAGGAGGCTTTCCTGTTTGCGTAAGTGGCTGATTAACTTACGCCGGCTCGGCATACAACCCTATACACGGAATCAAAGATCCATTGATACCTTCTCTTATACCCTATTTTAGATCGGAATTGGTGCATAGACTACCAGCTGGAAAATTTCAGCGAATTTCTTTTTCTCTCCTCAAGGCAATTGCTGAAGACTTCAGAGGTTTAAAGAATTTGCGTGTAAAACACCTTAATAGGCATAGACAATTGTTACAAAATAATACTTACGAGTTGATAAGTTTTACATCGGTGGCTTTCAAGATGGAAATGTAAATACATTTGCTCACTAGCTTCGTTGAGAACTTCTGAATCAACCTGAACATACGAAACGAAAAAAAAAAATCGATTGAGCAGGTTCAATAAAATTTAAAGGCGACATTCTCCCCTTCCAAATGTCGCACATAGAGGGGGGAGAGGAGGTCGGAATTTGTGAGGGAAGTTGGAGGATTCCTTTGAGGGAGCATTAGTGATGAAGAAAAAATTAAATCAGGGGGAAAAGATAAATAAAAAGATCGTTGAGTTACATTTCATTGAGAAGCCGATAGCAAGCGAGGGGATAAAGGAGGGCTCTACCCTACGTTGAAATAATGTTTGCTGGAAGGGGGAGGGGGTGGATTTTGGATTTGAGCTCCACCTTTGGAGTAAATGAAAATTATGGAGGGGAAGAGGAGGGTTACTCTACTTGTTCTATCTCGTTGTCAATTTAACACTCCTGGCTTATGAATTATAAAAATGATCGCTGTTCAAAAACATGTGAACTGCAAAAATGGACAGAAAGGAAAGGAAGACGTATTTCTCCGTCCAAAAAATTGAAAGAAAGAAAGACAGACATAGTCTTACGTGAAAAAAAAGAAAAAAAAATAAGAAAAGAAAAAATTAAAGAACAAGACGAAAAGTTTGGGTATTAGCTTTCAAAACACCCCCCACGCTGCTAAAATTGCGCCCCTGTTGCTAGTTCATTTGAACTGGAACTCTCACTCATAATTATCTCTAAGGATGCAAGAGTTCCAAAGCGTTCGATGATTTTTTTGTCCTACCACCAAATAAACACACACCATCATCGCATACTTTGAGTCTCGCGGGCCTGGATCTATGACGTGGGGCACGGCTCGCTACTGACGTGGTTCTCTACAATTTTCGTCATCAGCTTTACGAAAAAAATCATCTTCGAAGTCGTAGATGCAGAGTGGACACACTGATTCAGGACGAGGAAAATTGACTGCAATTTGCAACTTGAAACTACAATACCTCGCTCAGTTCAGAAATTAGATTCCCTAAAAGTGTTTTTACGGATGAGTAAGAAATTGTAGTTCTTAATTGCAAAATTTAGCCTAAATAGACCTCTTCGCGTGACCTCTCTAAAATTTGACGTGGAAAGGGGTTCATACAACGGAATTTCCATAGTTCTCCACAGCGAAAAAAAAAGTTTGACCGTATGAGAGCCGTCTCATATATTTGGCTTCTCTCCCAGCCCAATCGGGAAATCTTAAAATGATTAATTTTCATCCCTCGCTCTCTGAAAATGCAGGAAATTTCCTCAAAATCTATTAGAGAAACCGTATAAGTGCTTACGACGAACAAAAGTTTGCTTGTACAAATCGAACGTTGGGTGTTCCAAATCAATCGACCTATTCAGTCTGGTGAAATGTTTCGGTAGGTAGGAATGCGGATCGAACGATTCAGTTTGACGAACAAAAGTTTCGGTTCGTAGGATCGAGGATTTGCTGGTTCGCGAGATTGAACTTTCCAACTGGACCGAAATGATAAAATAAGCTCGATCGTGCGAACCGACCGTCTGATTCTGCGGATCGGATAGTTCTTTGCTAAACCAAATAGTTCGACTGATATGAAACACGGCTTGTATAATAGAACTTTCGACTTTAGTGCAAGCGGTTTCTCTGCTCAATTTTGGGCAAAATTTCCCGTTTACATTTTTCGAAAATACGGGAAGAAAAGTGGTACTTTTCCGATTTTCCGATCCGGCAGATTTTATCACGTTCGTCTTGAACTTATTTCGAAGCATCAGACAGGGGTACAAACCGTTCTAGACCGCTGCTATTTTCTCGAACGGGCTGGTTTTTCGCAAAAAAGTCAACACAACGCGCTGATCAAAATCGTGCTCAATTTTCGGATTGATTTTAGGATGTGTTCCGAAGTCGCACAATTCCGTATGAGTTGAAATCTGAAAACCTTCGAAAAGAAATCTCTCTGTCTCCACAATGTTTAGGGCACTTCCACAATCCGCCGCCCCTCTGACGCAATGACGTAGCTCAATTTCCACTTGAGTCCTGTTACAAATATGAATCGATGCTTTTTGTGGCTCATGTGGAAATCGAGATACGCCCTTACGTCGAAGGAGCAACGAATTAGGTAGAGAACAAGTTGCACCCCTGCTTCAGAAACTACTGAATATTTTAATGTGCGTCCAAACGTAGTAAATTAAAAACGACCTTGAAGAAGAAAAAAGGAAAGAAAAACCCCCAAATTTTCTTCTTTTTTTTTTAAAAAAAAATTGAATACCTTAATTACTTTATTAACCTTGTGGAAAAAACCCAAACTTTTCTTCCTGTCAATAGCAGAATACGTGAAACTTAGATTTCATAAATCTAGAAATGAAATTTAGTCATGCAAATTTTTAATGGTTTCAGAATGCAAAGAAAATTGGCCTGATTATTGAACGGCGGAAGAAAGAAAGAAAGAAAAAAAAAACCCCACAGAATTTGCCATGACGCACAGTGGATCGAGTCACTTAGCGAGGTCGGACAATAAGGTCGAAATTATTGACTAAAACTACAGATTTTAGTGTTCATTTCGTCACATTTTATATTTCAAGGGGTGCTTCATACATTCATACACTTTCACGAGAGAACCAATGGAACTACTTGTAGAACCTCAAAATTTTGTATAAACGGACTTTAAAAGCTTTTATAGTTTCCAAATTTTGTCCGACCTCTCCTATTGACTCGATCTACTGTGTGACGTTGCTCCTTTGACGCAAAGGCGAATCTCAATTGGATTGGTTTCTGTTAGACGGGCGTGCGTCCACAAACTTATCGGCCTCGGTGTCCTGCGTGGTCAACGAAAGCTAGCTAAGCCTCGTGATTTTTTGGACTTACGCCCGACCGATAGGGACCGAGTCAATTTCCACTTGAGCCTTGTGCCCCTTTTAACTCAATGCTTCCCGGAGCTCGTGCGGAGATTTATATGCGCCTTTACGTCAGAGGAGCGACGATGAATGTGACCACATACGGAAGAAAGGACCGCAATGCCAAATCACTCATAATTGTGAGAAGCCACGACTTGGAGTATCTTTCGTAGGTTGAAGGTTGAAAATGAGACTGCGCTCTTCATGAACATAATAAGGCAGGAAACCGCCGAAATCTATTTTACTTTTCAGGGTATAGTGGACCACAAGACAAGGTGCGAATGTAAGAATTCTTATGCATGTTCCTTCTTCAAAATTGATTTGTATAATAGGTATGATGAAGTTCGGTCAGAAATGTATTATTTAATAGTTTGCTTTATTCCTTGCATTATATTTTGGAATTGGGCGGCAGGGCATACCCCCTATGAAGTTACTTAAATCCGCATTTTCTCTGGAGGTCCATTGTTTCCCGATGAAAACTTGAATTCCAATTTTGTTGACTCAACTTGATAGAAATCGTTTTCCTAGAAATTATTCTGCAGCGCACTAAAGTCCCTTCTTTCGCAGATGTTCAGGGGCACATCTTCATCGTCTCCCGGACGAAGAAACGTAACTCCATTCCAAGGTTGCCAGATTGACTCAAACATTTAATTTATTTCACAAAAATGTACCTGCTCAATTTTCATGAAAAAAATTCTAATTTTTGCATGAAACAGGGGGGAAAAATCAGTAAAATTATCAGTTGAAAATGCCCAAGATTCTCCTCGTTGATGTGCACATGCGACATGAAATATGGCAACATTGAAATGAAGTTACGTTCTTTCGCGAGGGAGACGGCGACTTTTGAGCATGCGGTTAATTATTGTAAGCTAGAGAGAATACTTACGAAACGAGCCGATCGATTTGTTCTTCACTTTTGATGCCGCCATTAGGTGCTAGCAGCACCTTCAGGCAGTTGAGAAGTTGTTCCGGGCAGATGCGCGGCTGTAACACAAAGAAAGAGAACGATTAGCACGGACGGCAATAGAAAATTGCGGCAAATCAAATCAAATCCTGCATATATTTGCTAAGGTTAAGAAAAAGCAGTGCGGCTCTTCTGAACTTGATTAGTTAGTTAGTTAGTCAATTCATTTCAAGACATTCAGCGTCATAGGCTATTAACGTCTTTACAAAGAATTTTGTAAATGGGTGAACTGCCATTTGAGTCCTTTTGATGTCCCATGAGGCGCATAAAGGCGGAACCGAGGAGGGAGGCCAGGCGCACCGGCTATTAAAAGGGCTATGTCTGAATGCAACTATTCGTATTCTCCGGATGTCCATGTTGCATACACAAAAAATTGCAGGCTCTCTTACTTTCTCAGGCACAACCCATAGGTTCCAGGGGTTACGCTCCGTTTACAACGGTGTTTACGACTAAATTCCTCGAAATTCGGATGAGTCGTGTGTAACCGTGGCAGCGTAGCCAAATGGTACAACTCTCTGCGCAAATCATCTGCCGGACACATTTCCACGAAGATATTGCGGGTGTCAAAGCACAACTGATAAACGCTCCGCAATTTGCGCTTCGCGCTCAGAATGGTTTGCGATTTGAATTCTTATCAAAAACCATGCTAAAACTACAGTGAGGGGCCGGAGAAAGTTTGGGGATTCTTATGTTTAAAATATCTGACAAGTCTGGACATTTTTAATCCAAGAAAACCTTGCGAACAGCGATGATCATTACAGGTCCTGATTTTGCGCGTTCTTGCCAGTAATGGTCCCGCAAGTTGCACTTTTTGGCAACGCTGCCACAAGCGGAAGATGATAAATAGTTAATAGGACAGGCTTTTAACAAACTTCAAGTGGGTAAATTAAATAAGAATATTCAGAAGAAGGTAAAGTGTGCAATTCCGATTATGTGGGGCGCGTCATTAAATGCCGCATATTTAGTTTCCATGTTTTATTTATGTCTATTTACTTATTTCTTCTTTTCTACTAAAACCACCCGATAACTTTAGGTACACATGACGGATGAATGCAATGAATGACTCATTTTGGTATCATATGAGGAAAAAATTGGCTTCGCTCCGGTGATCTCGATGGCTCGTTCTGGACGCAACTATTCGTGTTTTCGGGGTGTCCGCATTGCATACCCAAAAAATTGTGGGCGCTCTGGTTTTCTCCGGCACAACTTACGGCAGCGCTGCAGTTGGTTTCAAGGGGTTGCTCCGTTTTCTATGTTGCATTCACAATCGTGTTTAATATGAATTCCTCAAAGTTCGAATGAGCCGTGTTACACCACGGCAGAGTTGTCGAATGGTGGAGATTTCCTCAAATTAAATCATCTGCCGAAAACAGTTCCGCAAGGGCAGTGCAAATGTCAATCCCCCAAATTAGTACATGCAGATATTATTTCCGCGATTAGGACAATTTTGTGCCGCTGTCATGATACAACACGGCTCTTCGCAACATCGAGGGCAAAAACAATGGAGATGTTGCATGTGTGAGGAATTTGCGATTTGACTGTTAAATCTTATGTAAAAGTTCGCGAAAAACACGATGGTGCCACTGGTTTTCTCTGTAATCAACTCCCAAGCTCAAAAAAAGCTCTCAAGTTGAGGCCAAAATGGAGGGGATATCCCACGCTATCCTGAAAGTCCATCTCTACGTCAAGACAAACTCTCCATGCAAAGATAGGGAGCAAATACATTGACAGGGCTGCCACCTTATTTGGGGACTCTTAAACTGAAATCACGGCAACCCGGTCAATGTATTTGCTCCCTATCTTTGCATGAAGAATTTGTCTTGATGTAGAGATGGACTCTCAGGATAGTGCGGGATATCTCCTCCATTTTGGACCTCAACTTGAGAGCTTTTTTGGAGCTTGGGAGTTGATTTCAGAGAAAACTAGTGGGACCATCGTGTTTCTCGCGAACTTGTACATAAAAATCAACAGTCAAATCGCAAATTCCTCACACATGCAACATCTCCATTGTTACTATAACGTAGCAAACCCTTGCGAACTAACAACCGCGGCCAGACGTTGCGCCGAAGAAAACCAGAGCGCCCGCAATTTTCAGGGTATGCAACGCGGACATCCCGCGAACACGAATAGTTGCATCCAGCTAGCCATTGGAAAAGCCGGAGCAACGTCAATTTTTCCCGCTCATGAAAACAAAACGTGTCTCTTGTTGCATTTATCCGTCGTCGTTGCACAGGGATAGGACGATTTGAATATTAAACCAAATTGAAAAGAAGAAGTAAGAGAATGAATGATCAATAAAGTAGACTATTCATGCGGCAGTTACTCGCTTGATTTAATCGGTAATTGCATATGTTACCTTTTTCCTCGTCTCCTCGTTTAATTTGTTCATTTAGAAATTAGTAAAAAGCCTATTCTACTAATTATTTACTATTTTCTGAGTGGCGGCGTTGTCAAATAGCGCAACTTGCGGGAGCGACACCCGCAGAACCGAGCGGAATCGTAACCTATCGTGATTGGTGCTGTTGGCAGGGTGAAAAGTTTTCTTCGGTTTAAACATTCACTGACTTATCAAACATTTTGAACGGGAAAATCTCTGACTTTTCTGTGTTCGATGCGCATAGTTCCTGATAAGAATTCTGCGCGAAAAATATCTTGAAAGTGAAAAAAGACAACGTTTTGGACGGAGGAAAAAATTACGGCAGCGAAATTCCCCGCAGCATTTCTCGACTTATCTGGGGTGGGAAAAATTCCTTGAAGTGTACTAGCTCACTTCACAATCGATTTACTTTAAGACTTTTGTTAAAAATTAGGGCATTTGCTGAAAAAATCTTGGCAAGTTTCCGAAAGATTTCGTTTCTCAGGGAAGACCACTCGGTCTCCTCGCACATTTAAATATTTGTTAACATTCATTAGGTTAATTCATAAATCTTGGATGCGCTTAAATGTGGGTCCGTTAATACCCCGCGCTGGTTCTTTTGATCACATAATTGCGATTTTCCCCGAAAATGAGGGAAACTTCGGAGTGCAAATCTTGGGATATCGAACGATTTCAAGGAGAATTTTGTTTTTTGCACCCTTGCAATAATCTGTCGGTTAACAAGTTAATGACCTGAAAGTTGAATCAGTCAACAAGCCTTGTGCAGAATTTTATGCGTGGTTTTCTGCCGAAGGGTGAATCAATGAGAAAAACCTTCATTTAATATTACCCGCATGATTAAATATCCTTTCTGATCCTTAGATTGTTGCTCTATGGGATATTATGTATTCAATAGTTGAGCATGAAAAACTCACATTTTGATTCTTATTGTTAGACCACGCCACGTTATATCATCGACTGATTCAGTTAATGTGATTAAAACATGAAACCGGCGCTTTCCTTGCATTAGAACGTAACTCTATTACAACGCTGTCAAATTTCCCATCGCAGATTGCATTTTCACAGGAATAATCTGGGCAGTCCTATCCGGAAATTCGACAGGGTTGCCACAGAATTTCGAAAAAAAAATTCCCGAACAATTGAAAGTATGCCCGATGGTTAAGAAGACATCTTTTGAAATAGTTTTCACGCAAATTTTTTTTTGTTCAAAATGTCATACCCAACTCTAGAAAGAAAATACATAGAGGTGACTAGACAATTTTTCCCTGCTGTTTTTCCTCTCATTTTTCCATTTTCCCTGACATTAGAGAATTTAGAGGTGTCTGAAATTTGATGAATTTCGTGTTTAAGTAAAAAAACTACTGAGTGAACTGAACACGAGGATACCCGTGGTTCATGAATTGAACGATTATTGGAGAAGGTATGACAGGATGATCTAATCTGCTAAAATACGTGTGTTTAATGGGAAATGCCGCCAGATGACGTCACTAGGCGGTGCATTTTCTCACCTTTAAATCTATTTTTATACTATTTCCCACATCAGAAAAAATTTTTAAAAAAAATACTGTGAAATCAGCTCTTTAAGCACTTTCAGATGAAGCAATAAAAAATGTGCATGCAAATTTTCCTTTCTCGTTAGTCAGGGGACCATGGCAATCCTGATTCAACCAATTTTTCTTCTGATCCCATGAAGAAATCGAAAAAATTCTCGACACAAATCGCACCCGTGCGTGCTTGTAAAAAATTGAATTCTCTGGGACAATTGGACCGCGTTTAACAGAAAGGAACAAGCCACATCAGCTATTGCCAAAAACTGGGCAATTTAATTTTTTACGAGAGAACGTTTGTACGGATTCCTTTAAAAATTTTAAGGAATTTGCTTCGTATTACGGGGAATATTCGCTGAAATTTGCACAAAAATCCGCACGACCATTTTCATGTATAAAATTAAATTGCCCGGCTAAATTTGGCAATAGCTGATGTGGCTTGGTTCCTTTCTGTTTAACGCAGTCCAATTGATCAACCTTCGAATGGAGTTAAGTTCTTTCGCTCGGGAAAAGATATTTCAGGTTAATGTGATAGGAACATGATATTTCAGTTAACGTTCAGTAGGTGCCAGTTGCAGAGAGGTTGGTGACAGCTGGGCGTGCTAGATACAACGAACCTCTCGAGCCTCAAAACACGGCATGTGCATCGCGAGGAGCATGCCGAAGGACTTGACGTTCGAGAGACAGCCGAGAGGCATCCTCCACTTGTGAGACACGAGACCTGAAAAATCAATGTTCCTGACTGACACAAAACCTACTGCTGAAGAGATAAACTTGCAAAAACCGTGACGTTGAGGGTATTATTGATGCTTTTGAATCAATCCAAAAGCCTTGTGCAGAGATCCGAGATCCATTCTACAGGGTTGCCACCGAGGTTGGAAAATTAAATTCCCTGACATTTCCATGATTTCCCTGACACATTTTGGTGAAATTCCCTGACAATTGAACGAACGTTAGATTTTTAAAATGATTATCAGAAAGAGTTTTCAGGAAACATTTCTTGTTCGAAAGGTCAAACTCACTCGAGAGAGCAAATAAAGGTGATTTGACAATTTTTCCCTGACATTTTCGTCATTTTCTCTGACATTTCCAGGTT